TAACATTCACTAATAACTTGTTATATGACTGTAAATAATATAAAAAATATTAAAAATTAATTTTAGACAAATTTCTTTACACATTATTCTTTCACAATGCAGTCATTTTTACTGCTTTGGGCAATATAGGTGTATACTAAGTTTCAGTCTTTCTAGTGTTAAACAGTCTGATTTATAATTAAACACAAACGAATCAACGGGCAGATGAAAACAAGATTGAAAATCCTTTCTTGCTCTCACGGGCTAAAGAGTTTAATGGGTCTGTAATCAAATGGGACACCGAGTATAAAACGCCTGACCACTTTTACGGTACTTAGTCGCGGCTCGTTCTCCACGCAAGAGGAAACTGTTCTCTCTCTTGAGTCGAGGTCCATTTATTTCCGTACGTACGCGTTCCGCGCGGTGCAGGAAGCGCGTGGACCACCACCAGTCGTCGCCGTCAGCTCCGCCGATGACCATGCTCGTTGACTCGAGAGAAATGCCGTTGCGGCTCGATCAAGCGGGGAAGGAAGAGGAAGACGGGACGCGCGTCCGTTGCTGAAGAAAAGTCGCCGGATTCCACGGCTCGGTCTTCGCTACGTAGAAATAACCACGTGAATTATCGTCCGGTTCGAAGGAAACTGCGAGGGGTTTGTTCCAAGCAATTTTATTATACGAGAATCAATCAATGAAAATTCGATAAACTTCCCGACTTCAAATCCAGTTCGTATCGATCGCCAGAACGAGATGTTGGAAAACGCGAGTAGATGGCCAGGGAACGGCTCCCGGCTGGTCAAAGCCAGGAGCAGCCCGAACGTGTCGAAGCCTCTGTCCCTCCCGAAGAAGCAAGCCTCGCCGGAACAGGCGAAGCCGACGTCTACGAACAAACCTCGGACCACGAGACCCGTGACGACTTCGAAACCCATCGGCAGAACCTCCAGTAACGATCAGATCAATCGTTCAACGGAATCTACGAAGACTCGTGTTTCGAGTACTGTGAAACCTCGTCGTACGCCTGAGACGGCACGCGGTGCGACGACGGTCTCTAAAAATGAAAAGAAACCTGTTTCAAAGTCCATCAGCTCGTCCTGTACGATTTTGGAGGACCGAGCGCTGTTGAAAAAAGGTCTGTCTTATACGCCGGCGAAGCCGCCGAAGAAACCCGAGGCCCTGAAGAAGAAAGCGGCTCTGGACCGCTCCGTGAGCCTCGGTTGCGTGTCTACCGGCAGCTCGCTGTCCGTCGAGAAGCCCAAACAGATCGTCCAAGAGAGAGAAGCGGTGACGAAGAAGAAATCGATGAACAGGTCCACGAGCTTGTGGAGCGTGCAGACGGTGTCGAGGAGCGAGCACCAGAGGAGGATGCTGTCTTCCTCGAGACCGAGCAGGATCCCGCTCCTCGCGCAGAGAAACATCCGCGCGGGTCGATCTCTGGCCGATCTATCACAGGTAGATCGCGCCGTGGAGCTGCACCCGGTGTTCCTCAACGACATCGACCTCGACCGTTCCATGGACGAGAGGATCTACGAGAACTGTAGAGAGGCGTTCAACTGTTCGCCCAACGGGAGCCAGAACAATAATAGTCGAACGTACACGAGCAATCTCGAGGAAAGGGTGGCGAGGCTGATGGCACAGTTGGAGGACGACGTCGACAACGACGAAGAACGAGGTAGAGACCAGGTGGACTCGGTGACTCCTCCTCGTAGTAGTTCTGGCTACGAGGCACGAGAGATCGACTCGAAAGGATCTGGTGAAAGTAAAATCGTCGAGTCCGGTGAAAAGTACACCGCGACGGTGATCAGGATCGAGGGGAGTTCGGGGCGGATCGAGAATAGTCAGAAGATCGACGAAGAGGACGTTGGTTCGGAGATGAAGAACGCTGGAAAGAAAATCGATAGGAACGACGTGACAGAGGAGTCGAAGAAGAAGAAGGAGGCGTTGAGCATTCAAGAGCTGAGGAAGAACTGGGAGAAGCAGGCCACCGGATCCCAGAAACCGATCAGGGATTCTATTTCAAATGTGACTCCGGTTACCGGCGAAACCGCGAAACCGTGTCAAAGGAACAACCGAGTCGACCAGTCGGAGATCAAGAATAAGCAATCGTCCGTGGGCAAGAGAGCCAAGGAGATAGAGCACCTCGTGAACTTCTTCAACTGCAAGAACGCGGAGACGTCGTCCAAGGATCCGTGGGTCAAGCGACCCACCGACGCTACCATCGAGGCGTTGAAGAAGTCCGATGCCAAGAACATAAACGATTACAATGGATACAGTTCCGACGGGAATTGCTCGGAGGACAGCGGCCATATGAGCAACGAGAACGAAGTCGAGTGGAAGGAGGGCGCGGTACAGACCGAAACCGTGGATTTTCCTAATAAATTCGACGCGAGGATCGCCGTGTTCGATGCGACGTCGATTAATTGTGAAAAGAAGCCGGCAGTCGTCAGGAGCAACGCCTCCACGTCCAGCGGTGCCAGCAGCATCAGTAGCTGCAGGGAGGAAAAGGACGTTGGCAAAGAGCACTGGAAGGCTCGCAGGCCGTACGACGATTCCCAGGTCCGTCGAGTTGTAAAAATAAAGAACGGCTTATGAATAAATTTAAGTCTAATAATTATTAGTTTAGAATTATCAAATGGAAATAGCCGGTATTAAAAATGAACGAGGAAATTATTCGAAACGATGCATCTTAATTCATTATGAGTATTAAATATTCTAAAGCTACTATGGAGTAGAAATGGTAAACGTGAATACAAGTAAAATAAGTGTAAATGAATTTCCTGCCATTTGATATCTCACGACTTTACGACGTTCTATTGTTTATACATTTCAATAATCAAGGAGAGAGTAGAATTTAGCATAACATAAATGCTCCCTTCCCCCCTTAAACGCAATCGTGAAAATCGTGTCAGGGATATCTCCGTTCCCTTTACACGCCGTTCATTTTTCTCTCCAATTCTATTCTATTCTATTCATCTCCTGCGTGCTGCGTCATTCTTAATTAATTTCAATGAGACGGGCATTGTTGCTATGCCAATTAATTCGAATCCTGTGCAGATAGAAAGCGTAGGCGTCATTTCAATTTACGATCCTTTGCATAACTTTTGATATTTGATATTTATTCTGAAATCGATTCGAGTTACTGTCATTTGTTGTGCAACTTTTACTGCGTATCAAGCTGGTTTATTACAGAATTAAATGCACACGATGTAGCAAATGGATAAGTGATTAGGGAAACAAATTGTACATATTTAAAATATAATAAGAACGTCTGTTTAAATTTCATTTGATGAAATGGAAGAATTGTTCATATTGTTAACGTTCGCGTTTTCTTTTTTCCTTTTTTTGGCAGATATTCTTCAGATCTGGTACTCTGGAACGACTGGAAGCGCAGAGGGACGAGAAGCTGACCGGGCACATTATTCTTCTTCAGGCGAGGTGTCGCGGCTATCTGGCGCGTCGTAAACTCAACACTTTGAAAGTATGTCACGACTCTGTTGCTCGGCTGCGTTAAACGTTTAATGCTCGCGTGTTCACTCGCGGTAGTCTAATCTGTAATTCGAGTTTTCACTCATCCTATGAAATTAGCAGCTGCCTCTTTAATATTCCATAATTATATCTCGGCTCCTGTCTATCATATTGTTCATTATCTCGGTAAAATCGTATACGCATGGACGATCGATGAATGTAATGATATATTTTTGTTACAGTTGCAAGATCTCGCGGTCAGGTGCATACAGAGAAACGTTAGGAAATGGATGTCTGTGAGAGAGTGGCCCTGGTGGAGGCTGTATGTGAAAATCGCTCCCCTGCTAAACGTTCACCGCAGGGAGGATCAACTCAAAGCGAAAACGGTGAGAATTTCATCTTCGATTAGAAATTTACCATTTTGCATTATGTAAACATTTTGTTTCGTTTATATCGTTAAAGGAGGAGGTCGAGATTCTCAGGGCGAAGGTTGAGAAGTTGGAGCAAGAGCGAACTCACCTGAAGCACGACAACGACCGGCTGGAAGCTAAGGTAGGTCAATTGATATGCATTTTATGTTCTTCCCAATAAAATATTGTTTATACTAAATAAATAACAAATATATTTCCTACAAAATAATCTCTGATTCGAATGTTATTGTAATAAAATATATAAAATATTATTAGATCACTCGGAGGGAACAGTAGAATTAATGAGTAATAGTTTGAACCAAGAATAAATCGTACAGTCTAGTTTAAGAATAAATGGTACAGTCTAAGAAAGAAGTAGGTCCGACGAAGAGAACGGATCTCCGGCAGGCGAAACCGGTTAGAAATCGCGAAACAATAAACTATAATAGCAGCGAGCGGCGGTACGGCCGGTGATCGGTGTGTGCCACGGCGTGACACGGGAGAGCAATGCCAAGGTCGTGAGAGGAATTTTCATAGGATACGGCGCCGCGCCGGTTGGTCAAGAAAATCTCGGTCACTGGAACTTTTATTATCCGAGGCGGCGCCGTATTAGAGCCTCGATGCTCCTATCAGTATTCCATATCTTACTCGGTACTTATACCGAGTCAGAACTCACTATTAATATTCTGTCTCCTTAATTGGTAAACCACAAACAGGGTCAATATACTGGAATTAAATATGTATCGATTATTAAATTGATTAAAAATATTGTTCATAATGAATAAGTATGTCAAAAATATATAAAATATTATTAGATCACTCGGAGGGAACAGTAGAATTAATGAGTAATAGTTTGAACCAAGAATAAATCGTACAGTCTAGTTTAAGAATAAATGGTACAGTCTAAGAAAGAAGTAGGTCCGACGAAGAGAACGGATCTCCGGCAGGCGAAACCGGTTAGAAATCGCGAAACAATAAACTATAATAGCAGCGAGCGGCGGTACGGCCGGTGATCGGTGTGTGCCACGGCGTGACACGGGAGAGCAATGCCAAGGTCGTGAGAGGAATTTTCATAGGATACGGCGCCGCGCCGGTTGGTCAAGAAAATCTCGGTCACTGGAACTTTTATTATCCGAGGCGGCGCCGTATTAGAGCCTCGATGCTCCTATCAGTATTCCATATCTTACTCGGTACTTATACCGAGTCAGAACTCACTATTAATATTCTGTCTCCTTAATTGGTAAACCACAAACAGGGTCAATATACTGGAATTAAATATGTATCGATTATTAAATTGATTAAAAATATTGTTCATAATGAATAAGTATGTCGATTGTTAAATGTCGACGTGTATTATCGTATCGATTTGCCATAAGAGTGTTTCTCTGATTATCGAGTGGTCCACGAAACTTATCTCGATACCCGGCTCCCGGACAGTTGGCGCGGATTCAAGACCGTGGCCGGTGCCTCGTCCAGCTCGGTGTTCCCCGGCTCACCGTCTCGCTCGCACCCTAACATCTCCCCTAGAATAACTCGGAGGTGACCACCGAGGAGGCAGCGGCCCGTGGCTCCCGTGCCGGCTGACCCAGGAAGACTAGTTGACCAGTTGCGCCGCGACTCCCGACTTCGACCCGTCGTTCGACGGCTCCGCCGCGCGCCGTTACGCAATTATTCGATTTGCAAATGACCGGATCAAATTAAAAATGCATACAATGGGATTATGCAACACGAGAGCCGAAATTTTCATTGATCAAACTTGCTTTTAATATGCCGCCGAGCTATTGTAAGGGAAACTCGTACAAACGTTATAAAAAATGTTATAAAATATTGTTTTTATTAAAAGATCATTGTTATATATTTATGTAGAAAAATTCTAAGTGATTCCGTCGAAAGTAACGATTCGAGTGATTTTGCTAGAAGAAACCTGATATTGAATCTGGCGCATGGACGTATTCTTTTATTTTTAGAAGCTGACATTCATTTTGTTTGGAGCTTCACTTCACGGTGAGATCAATGAACAATCTGCTGTGGATCTAAAGAAAGTATTTCGCGATTCGATGCGATTTACGATGCTCGTTTTAGTATCATTACGTTGCCTAGATCAATCAATATCAACGTTCCATGTGCTTGATCAATATCAAGAATGATTTCTCTCGTTTATAATATTCATGTTCAATATTAATATTGTGATCAATGTTAATATCGAATAATTGTACGAGTTTCCCGGAAGTAAGATTTCTGATCAGTGATTATATAATTGATTAAAGAAACCCACGATGTGGTTCACGAGAACAAAAGTCCCATGTGTTAAGCAAAAAACGAGAAAGAAGTAATGAACAGAACCGGAAGTTAATCGAAGCATCGCAATGCCGTCGGTGCCAACGATATATACTGGCGCCACGTCGCCCGACGTCACCATCCAAGCTTCGTCGACGTTTCAAGAGACCATGAACAACGGTAAAATACTGATGGAACAGGCGAACGAGCTGAACGACGCGATCATGGAGAATCTAAGGAAACCGATGGAACCGTTGAGGAAACGGCCTCCCTTGCCACCGCTCAAGAGACCCTCCAGTAGAGTCTTGAACCTGACGCGAAGCCCATCACCGTCCAGCGCATCGTCCAGCTTGTCCTGTAGATCAAGATCCATTTCTACCTTGTCCTCGCGGACTCATACGAGCTTGGAGTCTACTACGAACTTCTCCACGCCTCCTAGAAGAACGTTCCCCGTCTCTGCGTCCCCTGACTCTTTAGAGGACGTGTCGACTAAAGAACAAGCACCAGTCGTCTTCGACGCCAGTTTGAACTTCGTATTAGGATGCGAGAAACAGAGGGTGAGACAGTCGTTCAGGCCCACTGCCTCGCACATGGAACCAACCACCGCGTCCTCCTATTTATCCTCGAAGATCTCGCAGTTCTTGAAAAGAACGGATCACGTGATGGACGAATGGCGTAGTCTCGGACATAAAGATGATATGGAGAACGGAGTAGATTCGGCACAGCCGGTGTTCCGCGAAGGAGGCGCGATCGGAAGAAGCCAGAGTGCGACGAACATCATGATCAGAGGATATCAGTATTACAGCAGGGCTAACAGCGTCGGCAAGAGCTGCTCTAGGAGATCTGTGTCCAGGGCTTCGGAGGATAGAACTATCTCTGATAGCGTTGGCCAGGTCTGGAGCTCTGCAATCTTCGTTTTATATCAATGATATTAATTATAGATTGTCCAACTTATTTTAAAACATTTCAATGATTA